GCACCATTAAAAATGATGCTGTATACCATCTAATGCATGATTTGTACTATATTAATGACGGTGAAGTCTTGGCAAAAGTTTTCTGTGACCTATCTAAGGCTTTTGACTTTGTTAGTTGTTAGTAGTGCTCCAACTACGAACCAATTGAATGGGGAGTGCCACAGGGTTCGGTTCTGGGTCTGGTTCTTTTTTTGCTGTTTATCAACGATCTTGTTAATCTCTAGATTCGTGGAAAATTCACCATATTCGCGGATGATACCCCATTATGCTAGCCGCACATTGAGGGCAGGGTAGCCTGGCACAGCACAGCGGAGGAACTACAGAGGAAAACTATTCCTGTGCTCTGCCAGAGCGATATCCGGATTTTTTTTTTGTATTTTTTTGTATAGTTTGTCCAAAAGGCATAAAAAATCAATATGGAAAAACGATTATTTGAGGAAAAGAAGCACTCATGGAGAATTCAATTTAATAAGTGAACTTGATGATAATCAAAATCAAATGAAAATTTCTAAGCACAAAAATCTTCGCACGCAGTAATATAAGGCCGCAGTCCCAAAAAAACTGTGTTCATTTCACAAGGTAGAGGAAAACATTTCCGGCTAGTCCTTACAAGTTACTACGTGCAATATGCGGCACTGCGTTTGTTCATGTACGTTATAAACATACCTATTAACATTGAAGTTTACAAAGACAAGGCTGGTTTCAAGTGTAGTCTTTCAGGTATATTTATAGATAGTGCTCCAGTTGAGATCAAACCTGACATCAAATTTCTTGAAATTTTCATAGACAGAGAGCTCAAGCTCCACACACTTATAAATTTTCTTGCCAATAAGCTATCATCTGTAAGGATTAGTATTCAGGAGCTTGGCCCGAGGATTGGTCAAATGGTTTATTGTTCACTGTTTGAATCCCGTTTTCGGTAAGGTATTGCTTTTTGGGGAAATGGAAGCAACTATATACATGATTCAAATTCTACTTTTTATAGTTTTTATTATCCAAAAGAGGGCGGTCTGGTACATTTGTAGGGCCAATCCTCGAGACTCATGACGACCACTTTTTCTTCGGGAGAGAATATTAACTCTCCCATGTCTATACATCCTTGAAACTGCTTGTATCGTCTTTAAGTACCAATCAGGATTCATGGTGAGGAGCCCCCGATATCCAAGCAGGAATCACAGGATCTTGTGTCTGTCCCGACCTACTTCTGCTTTAATAAAGAGGTCCGTCTTATATGAGAGTGTTAATATTTTCAACCACCTTCCTCTTGATATCAAAAACTCGGCATCCCCCAGAATATTTAATTAAAATGCAGATAAAGCGGTCACTCATTACAAAGGCCTATCATTCTGCTACGGAATTTTTTGAGGATGCACTGTAAGATCAAAGCCTGCAACTGACGAGAAGCATCTGCCTACAATATGACTGTTTATAATGTGAATGTTTATATACATATCTCGGGTGTAACTGAATAACACCGACACACGTTTAGGGGTGGTAGGGTAGATCAATGCAAATAATTTGACAAAGGGAACATGGGCACGAGATATGGGGTATCAAATTTCAGGTTATAAGTTCTAGGCTACATGCGCCTCAAAATTTGGGGCCTGTATTGGTTCCATATATGTCGGATAATGAGACCGCGGGTCTAGCAGCGGAGACAAGTGGCCCCTTTCCGATTTTTCCCTAGATTTAGGGAAATTTTATTGGCAACGTCGCACATTATTAGTTTCGACAACGGTACGCTACTTAAACAGTAAGAGATGTACAGAAAAGGCTCGAAGTGACGACTACCTTTCTCTATGCAAATATAGAAACGGTTTTGGATCGATCTTCTTATTCCTCCCAAAACTTCCAGCATGTTGTCAATAAGCTCAAAGATAGCCATGATTCTACCAAGTAAGTCCTCTTGCGAATTCACAAGAGTTTCATAAAATAACGCCTTAACTTGACCCCACAAGTAAAAATCTAGTGGAGTCATGTCTGGCGATTGAGCGGGCCAGTGTACAGAGCCTCCTCGCCCAATGCATCGTTGCGGAAAGATCAAGTCGATACGCCCAGCAATAAAGCCGAAAATGGGCTGGTTCACCATCGTGTTGGTTGGTACCAAATATTTCGACGTACGTCAAGTGGTACTTCTTCTAGCAGCTCTGATACGTGTTGCAAGAATTGGAGATAAACATGAGCGTTTAGGAGTGGGGGCAACCAATATGGTCCAATTATGCAGTTATTTACTATGCCAGCCTATTACGGAAAATTGGTGTTGAAAATGATGCACATGCATTGCCTGTGGGTTCTCTTCAGCATAAATGTGACTATTTCGACAGAATTTTCTTCACAAAAAAATTGAAAGCATCGACAATTTTACATTGTATTGCCAAAATAATGTCATTTTGACTTTTAGTTTTTTTTTTTAAAAAAACAGACTGTATTTTAACATGGATGTTTGTTGATCTATTTTCAAGGTTTAAGTACGTATGCTATTTTACAATTATTTAATTTATTATTTTGGAAAGTTTAATATTGCTTGTAATTACCAAAGTTTTATCCCTGTTATTATTTTTTAGTGTTTTTTGTTCTTTCATTCTACTACTCCCATTCTTTTTCTCTCAAAAGCTTTGTTAATAGTTATTTACCTAACAAATGCGGAAAGTGATACTTTACCGCACGCAACGGCAGTTGACCGAACGACGCGAAGCGGAGTTCGGTCAAGCCGTTAGGGGCGGTAAAGGCACTTTCCGCATGTGTTAGGTACAAAATTTTACCTATGAGCATCTACATCTCCAAAAAAGGGCATTGATAAAATTAATTATTGAATCAGATTAATTAATGAAATGAGATTAGATTTAGAAATTATGAAAAATCCATTTTCTGGAAAAAAAAAGGATTTTTGATTATAAATATCAAATTCTACTTTACCGCACACTATGCGGTAAAGTGCACTTTACCGCACACTTTGTAGTCCACTTTACCGCATACTATGCTGTAAAGTTAACTTTACCGCATACTATGCTGTAAAGTTAACTTTACTGCACACTATGCTGTAAAGTTAACTTTACCGCATAGTGTGCGGTAAAGTGCTACTTTCCATTTGCAAATACGTGTGGTAAAGTGCACTTTACCGCACGCTCGTAGGTAAAAACATTTAAACGTTAAAACATTATTTCTTGCATTATTTGATTTGAACTGGATAGAATTCTTAATAATATCCAATCTCTCCCATATCCTTTTTCAAGGTACTGATTTACTCACTTATGGTGCTCTTCATAATCCCTGTTAATGTGTTCTCATACATTTTAAGGAGATCGTGATCCGATCTCTTTGTAGGATTTTCAGATGAACCAATCTCACTTTTTGCACTTTTTTTTCAAATTACTTTTTCGTCTGTGTCAGCGACTTTTGCCTAGAACTTCTGTAGGAACTAAAACCGCATTACCCTCGGCATTACCACAATCTTGAGGGGTTGTTACAGATTTTTTGCAATGTTTGCAGGTTTTTTCTCCTTCTGAGGAAGAAACAATATGACAACTACTCAATGATGTATGTTTCTTAATTGAAACTGCCATTTTGATATATTTTCCATAGGTATCGATGTCGTCCAGAACTATTCCAAGATATTTCAGATGTCTCTGCTGTAGCTTAGGCTGAGCTTTTTCCCCTTCAGATAAAAACGAGGGTTTTTCCGTTAGCCTCCTTACAAGGTCCTCCTAAAAAGATCACCTCCTGTCCTTTCTGAGGTTAATAATTCTAGTTTGAGGTCCCTCATTCAACATGTTAAATGGTGCAGGGGTACTTTCGCTGGTTAATTGTTCCCTAGCCAAAATAGCCAGATCATTTGTTAACCATATGATTCTGATACATGTGTAACGTTGGTACCCCATCAAGGAGGATGTTACATAGGGTGGGTTCTGGGGACGATCCTTATGGGACTTGGGACTCCAACAGTAACCTGAAGCTATTCTGTGTCGACTTCTTTACCTCACAGTAGCTCTTCATAACATTTTCTAGGTGCCATGACTTGTCTACTTACTTACATTGTTGAAGGCGATCCTTATGTCTAGGGTAATTAGGGCCATCCTCTTTCTGCTTCCTCTTTCCTGACCTCTTCAACAGCATGTAACTATTCACCCAATGACCTTTCACCTGCCTTGTCGAAATGAGAACTGCTTTTTCCTTCTCATCCACATGCTCTCCACCGGCCCTTCATATATCTTGTTCATCAAGTTTAGCGAACATACGGGTCTGTGTGAAGATGGATACCCAAATTTTTGGATGAAAACAAGTCAGATTTTTAGGTAATTATTGTACTGCCCAAACTGGAATATGCAAGTATGTACCTATTATTTGGTCACCTCAATATAAGGCATAATTAACGGGTCCAAAGGAAACTCCTAAAAGATATACTTTCCAACAGGGTACATAATTAATGAAAACCATACATGATTAGAATTCTCAAAAACCAAGTGCAGTGTCGAGACCTCCTTGCAAAACTTCCATTTGCCATATACATTTGTGGATAGCACTAGATATCGTTAAGTATTCTATTAAAATTTGCACCAGACAAATACTTATAAGGCGTCTCGTCTCCAGTGCAATGTTTTTAATACTTTTGCTATCAGATAAATCTGCAGGCATTTGACAAAGTCATAGAAGCACAAGTTTTAGAAGAGGACCGCCTTGTAATTTCTTCATAGTTTTTTATATAGATTTTGCACACACCGTTTTTTTATTTGTTTCCAGATTGTATAATAAATGGCAAACTGATGTAAATACTGCAGTAAAATAAAGAATATTAGGCTAATAAATCTCCCTTATGCGTATAGTTCTGAAATTTGAAAGTACATATAAGAATTCTTGGCTTATTGCATTGGATCAGAAGATTTTTCTACGCTTCTTTGAATGTAAAAATGGCACAGGAATAGAACAATCTATTACGAGAGGAATAGATATGTCCTGTTGAATCCTTACAGACATTTAAATGATAGTAACCAACTAATTCTTACCTGCAGAATCGTAAAATTCTCCAAGACGCTATTCATCATGTACTTTTCAGGTAAGTGTTTGAGTTTATGGATAAAATTGATCATGTACTCGCACATGGGACTCCTATGTATCCTATAAACAAATCGGCCATTCTCGTACCGAGCATACTCAGTCTCCACCTTTTCCACCACTTGCTTACCGAACGAACACACTTTAGTCGAACAGGTGATCGTCATATTTTCGTTACTTTCATACCTAGAAAAAAATAATTGTCAGTTAGGTACATTGCTTTTACTATCATTAAGTTTTCTTTGTTCTCCAAATCCAAAATGTATGTCCGTACTGCACCAACGTAGCTTTTAATTAAAGTTCGCATGCAAATAGCCCTCTCCTTGTATTCTATTATTACCTACTATAACCCGAGAGGGGACGTTAAAATCTAAATAATGACGGCAGATATAGGTTTCAATGGATTTCATAATTACATTCGAGGATTAAAATTCAAATACTAAATTTTAATTATCAAATATGGTGCACTTACGAACTAGTTACTCCGTAAAAAGCTCCCGATTCGTCCTGTATCGTTGAATTAAGGTCAGCCCAAAATTTAACTAAGAAAAAGGCGGTTTGAGGACCTTTATCATAGAGTTCTTTGAGGCCGCCTTTTTTCTCTGGGAATTTGTCATATATTTGTCGGACGTCTACTGCTTCGAGTAGGGGGTCCGTGTAGGACAGCGCTGGCCCTCCTATGTGTACAAACAGATGTTTGGGATACTAAAAAAAAGCGTTTTGAATAAAAATTTGTAAGTAATTGGTTATCTTACCGCTTCTTCTCTACTTTGAGACTCCATAAACGCCGAGAACTCCACCAGCCTTAGTTTATGCGTAGCAATAGCTCGGCCTTCCCATACTGGCGGGGGCGCCGCCTGCAATGCCCCCACGTCGCCTGCTGACACTGCTGTTGCAGGTTTGCCTGGGTAAGCTGCCTGGGCGAAAGGTTTGACACTAAAAAGTAAGAATAAGTTACGAAAATATATAATTACAATCCTCAAAGTTTATACACTCCCAAAACTGATTGAATTTCATTAGGCATGCATCTAACAATTTGGCAGCGCATCGTTAATTTACTTTCATACATGTAATGCCATTTCCTGTAGGTGTGATTGAAAGGCTTTTAATTATTAGATAACAAAATAATATATAAATTGACTACGTGGCTTTGAATAAAAATATTACAATGTAAGCAACAAACCACACTACAACAATGTCGGTTGGTAATAACCAGTAATGCTTTATTCTCTTTCGTGACATGACTGTGACTATTAAACGCCTACTATAGCTTGGTTATATTATGAGCAGCTTTAAAATAATTTAAAATGTGTGTGTGTGTGTTGCTTGCAGTATATCTTCAAGATAGAGCCATAAATAAGACGGTTTTGTACCGTTCAGCAAAGTTTTTTTGATTAAAACAAAAGAGAAGAGAGTTGAGAAACGATGAAACATCAGGCGAAGGTACAATACGATATGTTGAGATTTCCAATCTTCAACAAACGAGGTCAAAAAATGCAAAAGAAATGCGTTCGGTCATGAAATACCTATGAATATAATTTAGTGAGAATAAACCATTTCTTGAAGTAGGATCGGCTTATATTTTTCTAACATTTTTTCAAATTTTCCATGTGTTTTTATAATGCAGCAGCGCAGAGCTGTCAAGATACTTTTGAAAAGTACTATCTAGTCACAAGATAAGTTACTTTTGGAAAAAGTATCTGAAGTTACTTTGGGTATTTAGTTACTTAATAAAAAAAGGATCTTAAATACGTATCTTAAGTTACTTTTCAAGATACTCAATAAGATACTTATCAAGATACTTTATTATTATTACCGAATAGCAGGCGGAAAAACCGATTGAGCTATTGCTGTTTTTGGGCCACAAGTTCAAAAACAAGATTTTTCATAGTTTGAAAATCCCAAATTCGAGAAGGTTCAATTCTTCTCGAGTTTATTGTAGAACCTCCAAACCAATACAGCTTCTCATATCGGTGGATTGCTCCACATGAACACTGTTTTCTTCAAATTCGAACTAACCATTGTCGATAATATTTTCCTTATAAACAGGAATCGGGATCATTCATCATGACTTTTCCTATACATAGTACTTCAGCTTTACTGGCCAAACATATCCTAATATATGCTTTGTTCCAACCGACAATGGAACCGTTCCAGAACCAGTAATTTCCAGTTGCCAACCCATTTTTCATAAGTTGAACGTTTATCCTACTTGACAAATGAATTGATCGACTGGAAATTACCGTTCTAGAACAGTTCTCATGTCGGTTGGAACAGAGCCAACTCGCAGCAATCCCGTAAGGTCTGTTCTCACAGGAGTCTCTGACAGTTTGCAACCTGATGCACTAAATATGCGTGGGTTGCAAGAAGCCCTTTTAGGTAATGTTAATATTAAAAAATATTGATAATATTTGAATGTTGTGTTTTGGAGTGACCCCGAGGAGCTCTTAGAGCGACATGTTCGGTGTAACTTGACTCAAGTTACTTGAGGTATAAAAGGAATACAGTTAATGATGCATTGAAAACATGTACCATCGTCACCAAAAGTAACTGGGACAGCGACATATTAGCTCTTGTACTATTATATAGATTTTAGTGTCAAATATTTGTCAAATTATGATTCAAATGCATTGAAATGAATGATGGTAGAAATAGTCCAGGAGATTATTATGCATTATTTTTGTCCCAGATACTTTTGGTGACGATGGTACATCGGCGATGCTTACTGACAGTTTACAAATTGTCAGAGACTCTTGAGAACAGAACAGACCTACCATCTACTTATCACCTACTATTTGAATCAGTCTTATCTTGTTGGGTCGGATTTGGGTTTGGGTGAACGTCTCAAGCAACTTTTTTTACTGCAATTTTAATACTTTTTGTTACCTAACTTAGATACCTACTTTTCTCAGTATCTAAGATAGTTTTCAGTTTTCAGTATTTAAGATGCTTTTAACTAAATATCTGAGATACTTTTTGGTATCTGAGATACTTTTGCCAAAAAATAAAAAGTATTTAAGATACAGTATCTTTGAATAAGTAACTAAGATACTCTAAAGTAACTAAGATAGTTTTTTCTTACAGCTCTGCAGCGGCGGGATAGATCTCACTATACCGAGTTTATTTGTTATTTAAGTTAGTGGAACTAAATACTTGTTTTCTATTTTCAAAGTATAAGTGTCGTTTTGAAACTGTTAACATTTGATTATTTGAATAAGAATAGTAGGGTTTTACTGAGAAGTTAAGAGATTTTTGTTCGATTTGTTAGCATTTTGCTGGAAATATCGCCTAATAAACGGATGATTGGGCATACGTATTTGCATATGCAGTCCTAAAAATGCAGTTTCCTGCATAATAGATGGAATAAGTGACCCGACCATCCAAGTGGGAGCGCGAACTGAACGATATAAAACGCCCGAAACCCTTTATGCAGAGTTTCTTTCGTCGTTGAATCAAAACACACATAAAAAAAATTCAAATCCTGGACCTTCTAGGAAACTCTTTTACCCGTACGATCAGCGTAATTTTGATGATTTCCCGAAGTAAGCCTAAAGTAACCAGAAACACGAACAGAAGTGCTATAATTCCAAACAGACAGGCCATTTCTCAAATACATGCCCAAAACCGCGATTTGAGTGTAGACGGTGCAAGAAATTGGGGCATTAAGAGATTCTCATCAACCTCCAAGGAACCAGGTAGTGGCATTCAGCAACTTTCAACAACGGAACAACGAAGAATATTTCTTTGATTGTGTCATAAATAGAAAGCGAACGAAAGCTTATATTGACACAGGATGTAGTGCGGTGCTGATCAGAGAAGAGCAAGCTCGCGAATTTTTCACCTAGTTCAGTAACGATAACTGGATATGGTGCATCTCTAGTGGCTGTGGTTGGTGAGACAAATTTTACCATCGAGATAGACCACGCAAAAGCTAACGTACAAGCTTTTGTAGTACCAAATGGGGCCCAAGACATGCCGGTCATGGTTGGTAAACCATTCTTAAGTTCACCTGATGTTATGATGATTGTGGCTAACGGAAAAGTCAGGATACTCTCTTCACACGACTATAGGTAAAGGAGGTTGTGGTGGTCCCTTCCAGAACTTCGGTGCTCGTAACTGTCACTTCGCGAGGTACAATAAATGGAGAAGTCTACGTTCCCGGAGGCTTTAAGAGCAAGGCCCAGTCAAGAGCACTATATTGGAGAATGTGTTACCCAAGGCGAAGGTGAATACATCTCTATTACGAATATCTCCTCACAAGATATTGAGGTGAGTACAAAAAATATTTTGGTACGTTGTGTGCAATGTTTTGAAGACAAATCTTATTCTCGATTACTTTGAATAACGATGCTACACCATTATGTCGAAATGATTTTATTTATAATAAGGATCTTACGCCCGCTTGCTTGATATGGTTAATTCATTCACAATAAATGTTGTTTTGCACAACATTCAGGGGAGTTAGAAAAGAGCGACGTGCTTAAAATGTCCATACATCTCACTGACGATAAGCCAGTGGTTTACAGACCATACCGTCTATCGCATTCAGAACGGGAAGAAATCAGGCAAATCGTTGATGATTTGCTGAAGAACAAGATAATTCGAGAGTCGCGATCGCCGTATTCTAGTCCTATATTGTTGGTGAGGAAAAAAAATGGCGAACAGCGCATGTGTGTAGACTACAGAGCGCTTAACTCAAAAATCGTGAAAGACAGGTTTCCATTACCACATACGGATGACTTTCTCGGAAAACTTATGGGCTACCAGTTTGGACTTAGCCTCAGGTTATCATCAAATAGCTATTGAAGACGAATCAATACCCCAGACAGCTTTCATAACACCTGACGGTCATTATGAGTATACCCGGGTCCCCTTTGGCCTATGCAATGCTCCGGCAATATTCCAACGTACCGTCAACAAAGTTTTGGGCAATTTACGCTACGGAAATATTGTTGCCTATATGGATGATATTTTAATACCTTCTGAAGATTTTGAATCAGGGCTTCAGTCTTTAGGACAAGTTTTCGACGCCTTGAAATCAACTAACTCGACTCTTGAGGCTTTCTAAATGTCAATTCTTTATGAAAAAGGTTGAGTGTACCTTGGGCACGAAATATGTCGTGAAGGAGTCCAACCAGGAATTAGGATAATAGAGGCCGTTGAAAATTATCCAGAGCTCATAGATGTACATAAAGTAAGGCAGTTCTTAGGTTTAGCGGGGTATTTTAGAAAATATATTAAGGACTTTGCCGCCATAGCAAGACCGTTAATGTTCTTAACGAAAAAGGATGTAAGATTTTGTTGGGAATCAGATCAACATACAGCATTTGAGACTCTTAAAGAGAAACTCATATCCAGACCTCTTCTCGCAATTGACGATCCTAAGCTCAGAATAGAAATCCATACGGACGCCTCGGAGTGGGGTATTGGAGGAATTCTGTTACAAGAACACGAAGGCAACCTGAAACCAGTTATGTACTATTCGAGTCAGACCAGTAAGGAGGAGCAAAGGTACCATTCCTACGAACTGGAGACCATTGCTGTGGTTGATAAGTTGAAACATTTTAGGAACATAGGAATCGTATTTAAAATTGTCACTGATTGCAACGCTGTTCATACAACTTTTTGTAAGAGGGATATAGTTCCACGAATAGGAAAATGGTGGTTGGCAATCCAGGAGAGTACCTTCGATATAGAATATCGCCCTGGTACCAAAATGACCCATGCAGACGCTCTGAGTCGAAAATGGTCAGCTGTCTAACACAGTAAGAGTCAACGAAGTCAACATCAAGAAAATGGTCGGTTATATAGAAAATTATCTGACGGAAAAAAATGGGTAGTGCCTAAATCTTTACGACGACAAGTAGTATTACATTTTCACGATGACATATGGCACCTATCATTAGAAAAGACTCTGTCAGTTATTTCTAAGTTGTATTGGTTTTCTGGAATGCGACGATATGTTAAAAAGTTCATTGAAGCTTGTCTACCCTGCGTGTACAATAAGGAGTCCGGTGGAAGAAACCTGCCTATTTGCATCCAATAGAAAAGGTTGCTACACCATTCATATCGATCATCTGAGACCGTTAGTAAGGTCTAAAAGGAAAAATCAATATTTAATTGTAATAGTAGATTCCTTCACTTAATTTGTGTTTTTAAAAGCTGTAACATCTATCAAAACGCAACCGCTAATCACCTTTTTTGACAATATTATCGAAAATTATGGAGTTCCGAGAAGGATAATTACTGATCGTGAAAGTTGTTTTATGAGTAAAATGTTTAAAAAGGTGGAAAGGTACAACGCAACGGAACGATTCTATCCTCTTTTTCAACATCAGCGGATGATGAGGAACGATGGGATTTGAATATTTCCAAATTACGATGAGGACTCAATTCTACAGTAGATTCGGCAACGGGCAAGTCTCTTTACCATTTAGTATTTGGATATACTCCAAGAGGAGTTTGTAACGCAATTCTTGACAACGAAGTCATGATAGAGTCGCAACGAGATCAAAATCTGAACGAAAGCAGAGCTGAAGTAAAGGCTCAACCTGACGAAAAACAACGTTCCCAAAAGATAAGGTTCGATGCGCATCGTAAGCCTGGAAAATCATTTAATGTTGGGGAACAGATTTTAGTACGATCGACTCAAAATAAGAACGATGGAAAAAGTAAAAAGCTACTGCCAAGATATACTGGTTCATACGTTATAGCAAAGAAGCTAGGCCACGATCGATACGTAGTCGAACACCCGAAGGGATCTTTCCGATCACAACGAAAGTATAGTGGAGTAGTTTCCATCGATAAAATGAAAGCTTTCAACGTAGTTTCAAAGTCAGTTCCGATTCTAACGAACAATCTGGTTCTGATGACAATCGATAAGCGCTTATTATTACGGTACCTAAGGAAGAATATCTAAACTCAATAGACGTTGTTGGTCTGCTTTTCTGTTTACTAATTTTGTGTAACTGATAAATGTATTCCCAGTCAGGATTTTCAATTCAAAATAAATGTTAATGCATTAACATAATATTTTTCCAAATTTTCCATGTGTTTTCAAAGTAAGGAGTTTTGACCAACTAGTATAATAGAAAAAAAAAAGATGAAGAACGGTGATATAATAAAAGAATCGGTCAATCCTACAACACCATTCTACAGTAGGTACTTATGTAAATGTAAATAAGTCATACTTACTCTTGAGACGTGCCAGGTTGAAGTCCAGGTTGCCAGAACTGCTAAAAATAATAAATATCATAAATAAAATATTTAAATTGGAATTTACAGCAGAGACAACACAAAATCAAGGTATCATTCATAGCACAATTTATTATTCTGCAACACACAGCAAGTAAGCGTAGTCTTCAAAACAGTTAGAAAGAGCTTCAGCATTAAATATTATTAGTTCAATACATCTAATAGACAAGATGACTCTCTATTAAGTAAGTGCAGAATATTTTTATACGTATATTACTGCCTCAGCATGTTCAAATCATGACATGTGATATCCTCAAGATTTTCGGGTTATGATTTATGGGCACTACCTCTTATATGTCGTTGAGGCGGAACAGTTTTCATGCTCGATTACCAAAGGTTTTATGGTCCTTTCTGCTTTAATTGCCATAATTTTATTACTCTTGCCCACCGCGAAACGTGTAAAATCAGTAGGCGGAACTGATTTTGGGTTGGGGTTCAAATATCAGTGTAATGTGAAGCTAAAAGGACAAGAATAATAATGGCTTGCAGTCACAAAATAAGCCCGGATAAGTTTTTCAGTAATTAGAATGTTATAGGTTACCAGTTCCTCGGATTTAAATTCAAACATTATTAGCACAAAGGATTACTTGTAAGACAAATAAAAGCGAGCGTCGGCAGAATACTTTATTAGCCCCAGCGGAACTACATTAAGGAATTCAATTTATCGATCATTGGAGTTATTCATGAGTTTCCAATTTTTCAAGTGCAACAAGGAAACCGATCTACTTTAAAAGGCCATTCAATAATCAAAGTTGTTGAACCCACAGATCTGCAGGGATTATGAAGAGTTATTGGTGATATTAAGAATTTGAAGCAGTGGGAAAAAATGGTTTGTCAGCTAAATTACTCTTGGTCCTACCGGGTGAAAATCTTTTAAATCTCCTTTAAATCTCCTGAAAGCCATTAGCAAATGTTGATAGTTTTGCATCTACGTTAAAAATTTTCCTCTTCACAATGGTGAAGATTTGGACAACCCTCCACGTATTCCTAAGCTTTCCGAAATTTAGAAAATATTAGTCAAAGTAAGTTATGCACTTTTTGCAGCATCACAAAGTTTTTCACTCTTGTCTTGTCTTGATCATTTCATTTTTGGAGAGCAGTTCCCAAAGTGCAGCGACGGGTCATAGTTCATCAAAGTTAGCTGACGTTTAATTGGAAATTCCTGGCTGTTGCTACCTATATAGTCTGGCCACTTTGAATATAAGGGCAGAATTAACACTTTTTGCAGACGATACCCCTACCGTCCTGTGGAAGATAATTCAAATTTGCTTATCTCAGATATCATCAAGACACCTATGCCTCTGAGTAACTTCAGCATGGGAATCAGAAAACTAAGACGAACATTCTTACCATCAAGCCTGGGTTCCATGAGCCTCGCTGCCTCTGAATCATAGTGGATTCGTGTGAGGCTGGACCTGATATGACTTTAGTGAGATCTCACCTTAGATATGGAGTAGGTTTTCAGTGGAATTCTAGACATTATCATTTTAATTCTTCGTTCACTTCAGAAACGAGCACTGAAATTTATATTTTGCAGGTCTTCAATTCCACCTCAACTTCCCTTCACCTTCACATTGTAAAAACGGCATGCTTAACTATCAAACATAAAAATTCCAATTGGTCTTCGATATGTAAGTTATACTTATTTCACAGGTCAGGCTCGTGACATCTATTTATTTGTGCCCTCGTCAACTTGAGCAGGTTTCAGGAGCATTTGAAATAGTGTGTTGTTAAAAAGGCTTGATGGACTGAAATGCAATCACATTTGAATAAATATTGGTTCAGAAGAAAAAAAAACATCTGGATGAACATAACTGACCCATTTACAGTTTGTCTTTAATCAAGTCTAGACTTGTTGACACTTAAAAAATTTAACCACGAACTCCAAATAAACGCTATCTTGAAATTACCTCAAGATATAAGCCGAACTCTGGGGCTCAACTTACCGCCGTTCCAGGAAAAGATAAGTTATGGGCGTTAAGACCCAAGTTATAAGCGTGCGCCGACTTGCTGTGCATTGCAGTAGTGGCCGACACTATCTGCGCACTTGACATTGTCGACATCGTTTGGAGCGTCTTCTCTTTGACAGCGTGATCCTAACCAACCAAACAAGTTATAACCAACAACCGAAAATAATCCCTTCATTTATTATTTGAAAAAACTTAAAATAAGACTTGACGGTGAGGAAAATATCATCACCCTCGTAAAGTAATGCAGTTAAAGTGTGTTCGAGAATACTCTATTGGTTTGTTCGCATCATCTAGTAAATGATCATATTTTCAAACCAAATTTTGTTCATGTTATGCTTATTGTGTTGGGAATATACATACTTATTTTCTCGTTTGCTAACATTTTAGTAAAAAACTAGATTTTTCTTTTTTAAATAGGTACGTTTATTCTGTTTATTGGATGATAATCACCTTGACAGTTGTGAAAAGTGTTCAAATGGCAATCAATCAGAACATCAATCAAGAATCTTTTGGGAGAAAATATTATTGAAGAAAGCAATTCTCCATAGCGAGCTCAAGTTTTAGTCACTCACAATGAAAATTGCAAACGACGTATACGTAAAGATTATTCAGACAATCAACAAATTTACTCTACCAAAGACGCCTATCCGCTTCCAAAAATTGAAACATTAGTCAATAAGATTTCGAAATATGAAGTGTTTAGCACAATTGATTTGAAGAGTGCCTATCATCAGATACCCATCAAAGAACAGGATAAACCATACACTGCATTCGAAGCTGGTGGTAAGTTGTATCAGTTCTGAAGAATACCTTTTGGTGTAACAAATGGAGTTGCTTACTTTCAAAGGGTAATTGACTTAATAATTTCAGAAGAAAAATTGACAGGCGCTTATGCTTATTTGGATGATATAATCGTGTGTGGCGAAAGTCAAGAGAAACATGACCAAAATTTGAAGAAATATCTGCAAGCGGTCAGAAACCGTGGACTTACACTGAATCAAAATAAATGTTCATATGCTCAAAAATCAATCAATATCTTAGGCTACACTATAGAAAACAGATCTATGAAACCCGATCCGGATAGACTTTCGCCACTTTTGAACTTACCAGTACCCAAGAGCACAAGTGAACTACAGAGAGTACTAGGAATGTTCTACCATTCTTCTAAATGGATACAGAATTTTTCAAACAGAGTCAGAAAACTCGTCAGTTGTAAGTATATTCCTTTACTAGAAAATCAAATCCTGAATTTTGAAACGATAAAGACAGACATTGCAAAACTCACTCCCTTGGTCAATAAATGAACATGAAACTTTAGTTGTGGAAATTGATGCATCAGAATTTTGTATAGCCGCGAGTCTGACCGAATCAAGAAAACCTGTAGCTTTTTTCTCAAGGATCTTGTCTGAATCAGAAAGAAAGCATTCATCTGTAGAAAAAGAAGCTTATGCATGTGTAGAAGCGTTAAGAAAATGGAGACACTATCTAATGGGACAACATTTCAAACTTGTGACAGATCAGCAAGCAGTTCAGCAGTTTCGTTTATGTTTGATACTAAACATTCTAGTAAAATTAAACATGAAAAAATCATGAGATGGAAACTTGAACTAGCTTGCTACAGCTATGATATCATTTATCGGTCTGGAAATAAAAACAGTAGCTGATGCATTCTCGAGAATTTCAGCAAGTTGTACAATAGACAAAATGTTCCAACTACATCAAGATTTGTGTCATCCGGGCATTACTAGGATGCATCATTGCGTCCGAATGAGAAACCTACCCTATTCTCTAGAAGAAATTAGAAAAATGACTGAAGTGTGTCCAGTGTACCAAAGGACCACTACCTTCAAAAGGTAATCATTATTAGATGCCTACCATTGTGGACGAATACAGCATTCCTTTTGGTTTTCCTTCCTTGGATGCTTTTCCTTGTTTGGATGTCACAAGTGCAATTGTCCTTACATGCTTTAACCAGTTTTTTGTAATATCTGGGATGCCTGCCTATACATTCATTCAGATAATGGACCATCTTTAATATCTAAAGAACTCAGTGAATATTTGCAATCCCGACGAATAGCTCACAGTTGTACCACACCATATAACCCAGAAGAAAATGGCCAAGTAGAAAGATATAACAATATAATTTGGAACCCAGTATTATTAGCTCTTGACACGAGAAACTACTCAATTGAACAGTGGAAAACTGTCCTTCCACCTGCATTACATTCGATTCGCTCGCTTCTGTGTACCAGCACTAACTGCACACCTCATAGAAGACTATTTGCATACCAGAGAAGATCTACAAGTGGCACATCTATTACATCTTGGTTGTCAACGCCACAGAAAGTTCTTGTAAAAAAAAAAATAGCAAAAGCAAATATGATCTTTTAGTTGAAGAAGCAGATCTTATAGATGCTAATCCTGAATTCGCCTGGATACGCTATGATGATGGGAAAGAAGCTAGCATTTCAGTGAAACATTTGACACCAAGAGACGCCACTCTTCTGAATGGTTCGGAAAGCTCAACCTCTTCTGAAATTATTCAAGATGATGAACTAAATCAACCTAATGCAGCGGATAACTTTTCTGATTCTGAAGCAGATGGAGCTAGAACAGAAAAATTTCCAAGAACCAAAAGAAATCGAAAATCGCTGAAGTATCTTGAAGATTACCAGAAAAACTAACCCGGGCGAATGTGATAAATTAAGTTTGCCACCTTCCATGTATTAAATTGTCAATCTGACTTTTAATTAAAGGTCGTTTCTGCAGAAATCACAAACCAGTCAGAGCGAATCTCATTGGTTGAAAACAGTCAGAAGACGTCAGAAAACTAGTTTCAACCAATGAAATTCACTCCTGACTGGTAATCTTCAAGATACTTCGGCGATTTTCGATTTCTTTTGGTTCTTTGAAATCTGCTTCAGAATCAGAAAAGTTATCCGCTGCATTAGGTTGATTTAGTTCATCATCTTCAATAATTCCAGAAGAGGTTGAGCTTTTCGAACCATTCAGAAGAGTGGCGTCTCTCCTTGGTGCCAAATGTTTCACTGAAATGCTAGCTTCTTTCCCATCATCATCATCTCTGGATAAATAGTTGTCATTTTATTGTGTCATGTCATGGGCTAAGTTCATACCGATACAGCAACCCATCACTAACTTTTGTCTCTATAGAATAGGATTTTTCCAATGTGATCTTCTACCATTCGACATACACAACACTATAAGCAGACAAGATTACAAAATGCTGTTCAAAAATATTCACTTTTGCTAGAGGATGCGATTTTTTTTTGTAACAGTATATAGGTACATTTACCTAGTGCCTACGTATTTTTGCCTTTGCAGCCCATGTGTAATTCATAAAATAAAAAAAAAAACTACATGTAGGCCACAGTGTTAAAGAAAAATATAAAGTCTACAAAACCAATTACATATTATCATATAAATAACTTTTAATTATATAGATATAAAGCTAATTGACAAGATAATTAGAAGTTTTTTGTTAAGTAGGCCTTTTTTACGCGGAAATAAAATTTAAAATCAAATACATAATAGAAATAATTATGGATTAAAAATTGAAAAAAATCGGCCATTATCCACTGTAATGTCACTTTAGTTTGCAATAGAAACCATTTAAACGAACTAGAGCGTATAATAATTTATTATTAAATGCAGATTAACAGTTAATGGGTCTATAATAAAGCTATTAGAGAGCAACATACGTAAGTTGCGTAGCGTTAACGCATTTATTTTAACCAGGTTTCAATTGGTTATTGGAAAAATTTAATAGGGCGACTTTTTGAGAGTGACTCATAATAAACATTAATTATGACGAGAAAACCTAAAGTAAATTACTGATTACTTCTAGGAAATTTTGGAATCAAAATGTATCTCTGAGAAATTTCTGTTATTATTAGTGTGGGTTACTAGTTTTTCTTTATAAATCTAACCATTACTTTGAATTTTGATTATTTATAAATATTGGTATACTTACTTATTATATTCAGTATACAGATAGACAAAACATTATCAGATTTGAGTTCAAACTTAATCAGTGGAAATGTTGGTACAATATTCCATAATGAGCAATGCATATTTCTATATTCATATTCATTTATTTTTGATAGAGAAGTTTAAGGTGATCTGTGGCGTACCTCTCTTAAAGGCTTTTATGTTTTGTAAAGAATGTACATCTAAGCAAATATTTGACTGGTAGCAGGCCTTTGGAGCATGCACTGACTTATCGCCTGAAGAGGCCCGTTTGTTTTGTTTATTTCAACATACGTAAGTGCAATAAATAAATACTTGATGAAAACATTGCTGTTCGTTGCAAAGTTGAAGTGTATCGTGGAAATGGACCTCCCTAAAGAAATAGAGATCTTTTATCAGTCAAATCAAAAAAAATTGTATGAAAAGACATGTAGAGACTATTTCTGGTGGTGTATTAAGAAGAATATCATTGAAATTATAAGTGTGGTCTTACGGAAATCATCAACCAGTCGCGTTTTTAATTGGTGCAAATTGCCAACAATCAGTTTTCGAACTAATTTCAACCAATGAAATTAGCTCTGACTGGTTTCTAATTCCTGTGAGAACAGACGTCAAGACCCGGCAAGAGAAGATAGTTAACTATCTTAGCTTAAGAAATTGAAAAAAAAAAACTAGTTTTTGTGGAGATGCTACGGTATTCCAAATACTACAATAATTAATTTCAACTATAGCATCGTACCGGGTGGTTGTCTATATACAGGGTGTCCACTTAGTGCGATATCGGACGATATCTCCTTACAGGGTGATGCAAGAAAAAAAAATTAAATTACAAAGTTGTTTGATACTCTAATAGGCATTAGTTGAAAATATTTTTAAATATACAGGGTGCTTCGTTTATGGGGTATGCAACAGAACTTTGTTATTTTAAATGGAACACCCTGTATGTGATTGCATATTTGGATTCTACGTAAAATTCTGAGCAGATTTCATATAATATACCCTATACCTAAGTTCAACTGTTTTGGAAATATTGACAGTTGAAAATTGACTTTTTGCAATTTTGACAGGCTGTAAAACCTAAACGGTTAATTTTAGAAGAAAACCGATTTCACATGCCTGTCTTAGATTTTTATAAACTA